GGCCAGGAAAGGGTTGTCCTGCAGGTACCTGCCCAAGGCTGATCCCTCCCTCGGGCCCCCTGGGAGGTGAAGAGCAGGGTGTTCGTACACAACTTTCCATCAGCCCTTGGGGGCTGTTTGGGGTGGCGGTGGGGAGAGTTACAGGATTGCAGCCTGAGTGCACCCTCAGGCGATGAGGTGCAGAAACTGGCCACCAGCACTGAGGCAGCGAGGCGGGAACCAAGAACAGCAGGCCCTGTTTCATAGGCTGTGAAGGAGGTGAGGTGAGCTCGCCAGGGCTTTTCCGCAGCTGTCAGAGTCACCGGCTGTTGTCCTCCTGGCGGTGTGCAGCGGCCATTACCTGAAGGGAAATGGAAAGTGGAGCCAGTTGGTAACTCTCAGACTTAGGCTTCAGGTGCCTTCGTCTTGTCTTTAGTCTTTGCAACATTTTCCTTTCTCGGCTGCTGCAGACTTTATTAGAGCTGAGGCCGTGTTGGGGACTGTAGTTCCCTCTGCACCCTGAGCTTTCCCTGTCCCTGTGCCTGTCCCTGTCCTTCAGCTCTGGCAAGTGCTGTAGTGTCTGTGGTACGGTTTCTCTTTCAGCGGTCGGATAGCATTAGACCTGCACTGAACAGTCCTGTGGAAAGGCGAAACGGTGACCAGGAGGAGGGAGAAGCTTCTGCACAGGTGAGGAGGGTGTGGGATCAGGGAGGGGGATTGGGGCACCAGCAAGGGCCTCCCCTGTCTGTGAGGCTTGTGGCAGGAGCGTCAGAGAAGGCCGTCTGCCAGTACGTCTCCATGATTTAGGAGAACAATCCAGCTGTGCCTGTGAAAGCCCAGGTGCGGCGGATTCTCTCTAAGACCCAGAGGGGACAGGGGTTGTGTACTTGCTGGCCAGCCCTGCCACCTTGAGCTTGAGTGGTAGCATTAGGAGAGCAGAGGGAAGCTGGACGGGTCCCATGTCCTCCAGACATTAGGGCATATAAGCAGGCCACAAGTTCCCTAGAAGTCCCCCTCACTCATGGCTGAAGACAGGGATGGGGCGGATGACCAGGAACTCTTAAAAATAAGCCTCTCAGCCTCTTATACCTCCCTTCTATCGATGCCTAGAGAGGGTCACTGGGCTGACACCGGCCAACCTGGGTCTGTGTGTGGTAATGTAAGCATGATGGTCGGGCACCTGCCTAAGCATGGGGGGCACCTGGCACTGTCTTGGCCTGCGGAGTTCAGCCAGAACTGAGAGAGTTCTTTCTAATATCCTGTACACAAGAAACCATACAACCTTTTATCTGTTTAAAAAAAGATCCTTAGAATTTGCCCTTTCTATCTGCTTGACTCTACTTTGAGAGTCAACTTGAGGGTATCAAATTTGTGCAGTTAATGTGATCAGACTTGTTTCAATATTAGGGCAGTGAGTAAAATTGAACAGAAAATTCCCAGAATGTAAATGAGCACTTAACTTTGTTAATGATTTTCCAAAAGTACAGTTTCTAGGAAGGGAAATGTCCCTGTTTTTCATACTGGTCATCATTGCCTTTTATCCCACACGTACCGACCATCTAGCCTGTGTACCAGCACCTAGTGGTACACAAGCCAAGCACAGCAGCTGGTCCCCCCAGCCAGGAGACCGTATCTGCCGTTGCACATGTGCTCGTGGTTTCCTGTCTGGCGGCAAGCCTCCATGGAGGGCTAGAAGAGCATTTTGGGGTGCTCTGGTCAGGTTTTGGAGCTGCTGAGGAGAGTGCCTGTGCTCACAGTGGTCCCTTGCTTCCTCCGTGTCCAGACTGAGCATATGCCTCTGGACCTCAGTCCTAGGCTAGAGGACACCTTGGACTTCAGCGAAGCAGAAGTGGAGCCCAGTGAGGGGGAAGACTTTGAGGCTCGGGGGAGCCGCTTCTCCAAGTCTGCTGATGAGAGACAGCGCATGTTAGTCCAGCGCAAGGATGACCTCCTGCAGCAGGCTCGGAAGTGAGTTGATTCTCCAACCGTCAAGGGTACAAATCTCGAGTCAAACCCAGAGGCTTCAAGTCCTTTGTTGTGTCAGGCCCACATCTTGTGTTTTAACAAATGGTAACTCTGAAAAACCATTACATGTCACCTAAAAATTTAAAATTTCAAACCTTTCTTGAAAAACCAAAGGATCTGATAACAGACGCTGGGCCTGCCTGGTCACTTCCAGTGGACTGCTGCTGTCAGTTACCCCCTGTGGACATCTGCAGCCACACTNTGTACTGGTGTGTGCTAAGCCCTTTGTATTACTTCAAGTTCCTAACAACTCTAAGAGGGAGCATTGTGATTGTACCCATTTGATAGACTTAAAGCTGAAGAAATTGAGGCCTAGGGAGGTTAACTCTGGCCTGGTATCTAGTTCCCAAGCCCTCACTCTTGGGCACTGGGCCCTGCAGCCCAGCACTGGGAGCACAGACGGCTCATCTGTGTCGCCCCACTCCTGGGTGGCCGCAGCTGGAGCCCGGAGTGTTCTGTGGCTGTTCAGGGGCTTTGTGTTTAAACTCCTGAGGACAGAGCCAGTGTCTTGTTCAGTGGGTGGGTTTGTTGCCCAGCACTGGCCTTGCGAGTGCGGGGCCTACGTGCATGGGGCAGGGGCGGAGGAGGGAGGGGCTGACCTGCCACACTTCCTCCCTGGCGCAGGAGCCCTTGCTCTGTTCAGGGCCAGGTGTCTTCCCATGGGATGGTGCTGAGTGACAGCTTCATGAAGGTGCCCAGAAAACGGGGAAATTAAAAATAAACACCCTCTGTGCTTCTCTATATGTTCAGAGCCTCCCTTAGCTGTCATACTAGTCCTTTGTTTCTTGTAGGCGTTTTTTGAACAGAAGTTCTGAAGATGACTCAGCCTCAGAGAGCCGCCTCCCCTCGGAGGGTGTGACCTCTGACCCTGTGACCCTGCGTCGAAGGATGCTGGCTGCTGCAGCAGAGCGCAGACTTCAGAAGCAGCGGACCTCCTAGCGCCTCTTGGCCTCCCTCAGCCACCGCCTCCTGAGCAGTGTGCCGCTGGAAGAGGCCTGCTCCTGGTTCTGCCTGCTGGTTGAAGAGGCAGGCTTGACTGCATTGCTGCTGTACAAAGCATGTGGTCTCAATAATGTTTGGACAGCTGACAACCTTAATCCTTTTTTGTAATACTTTCTATGTGACAGTCTCTACCCTATAGAAACACTACACAATCATTTTAACTCTAGGCATGCTCTTTTCTGGCATTGACTGGACTTCTTAGGGGCGGGGGAAGAGCAGAGGAAGTGGGCAACCAGAGACCCTGAAGCAGGCAGCTTTGATGACTGCCTTATGCATAAGTCACAGCAAATGCTGGTTTCTTTAGCACCAAGTCTGGCAGGAATCGTGGTTGGGGGTGTGGGGGAGGATTCATAGCCAGCAGCGTGGCGACACACAGCATGAGCCCAGTGCCCGGCAGCGGGTGCTTTCCTTTGCCACGCTGCTGCTCTTCTTGAGGAGGGACTCGAGCTACAGAGGCCAGAACTGTGGGCCGCTGGACCTCTGGACCAGCAGGGCATCTTGGAAGAACACTCCTGGTTTGCTACCCAGGCAGAGGAGGGGAAAGCCTAAGGCCATGGCGTGAGAAGGGGCCGCTGGTCCCAGCACATCTGGGGCTCCTTCTGAGCCCCCAGTCCAAAGCTGGCTTCGCTTCCATTAATGCCGGTGCTCCCACTTCTCCCAAGTACATCCTGCATCTGTCCTTTCCTCTCTGCCTTTCATTGCCTTCCCTGGACATGGGGAAGTTCAGCACTGGAAGGGTTAAGTGGCAAACTTTGGTTTGTGGTTTTCATTCTTTGGTCAAATAAATTAAGCAATGCCCACAGCTACAGGTTTGGTTCTTGAGAACACCTGGGTCCTGCAAGATGGGAAAGTACATTTTGGAGGTCTTTACTGAAGAAATAAAAAAATCTCTTGTATCTGTCTTCCCTGGAACCCTTCCTTTTCACAACTGTGTTCCTATTGGTTTAATTACATATAGAAAGGTAAGATGTTGAGTACACCTGCTCTGGAGCAGACCCAGGTCCCGAACCTCTTCAGATTCTTCGCACATTTAACTTTAAGGATTGAGA